CCACACTACCAAGACATAGAGTCAAAGCAGCTCTACCTAATACACAGGACAAACACAGGGAGGCTGCCAAAATGAAGAGACAAAGAAACGTTGCCCAAATGAAAGAACAGATAAAAATTCCAGAAAAAGAATGAAATGGAGATAAGCAATCTGTCAGATGCAGTGTTCAAAACACCTGGTAGTAAGAATGCTCAAGGAACTTAGTGAGGACCTCAACAGCATAGAAGAGGTCCAGTCAGAAATGAAAGATACACTAATTGAAATAAAGAATAATTTACAGGGAAACAATAGTAGAGAGAATGAAACCAAGAATCAAATCAATGATATGGAACATAAGGAAGCAAAAGACAACCAAGCAAAACAACAAGGAGAAAAAAGAATCCAAATAAACAAGGATAGTGTAAGCAGCCTCTGGGACAACTTCAAGTGATCCAACATTCTCATCATAGGGGTGCCAGAAGGAGAAGAGAAACAGCAAGAAATTGGAAATCTACTGGGAAAAATAATGAAAGATTTGGTAAAAGAAGTAGACATACAAGTTCAGGAAGCATGAGAGTCCCAAACAAGATGGATGCAAAGAGGTCCACTCCAAGACACATCATAATTAAAATGCCAAAGGTTAAAGATAAAGAGAGAATCTTAAAAGCAGCAAGAGAAAAGCAGTTAGTTACCTATAGGAGAGTTCCCAGAAGATAAGTCAGCTGATTTCTCAAAGAAACTTTGCAGGCTAGAAGGGACTGGCAAGAAATATTCAAAGTCATGGAAAGCAGGGACCTACAGCCAAGATTGCTCTACCCAGGAAAGCTATCATTTAGAATCAAAGGGCAGATAAAAAGCTTCCCAGACAAGAAAAAACTAAAGGAGTTCATCATCACCAAGCCATTATTATATGAACTATTAAAGGGACTTGTTTAAGAAAAAGAAGATCAAAATTATGAACAATAAAATGGCAATAAATACATATCTAACAACAATTGAATCTAAAAAACAAATGTAGCACACAAGAAGACAGAGACAGAATCATTGACATGGAAAGTATTTCAACGATTGCCAGATGGAACAAAGGTGTGGGAAAGAATGGGTAAAGAGGTGTGGGGATTAAGAAGTACAAATAGGTAGTTACAGAATAGTCATGGAGATGTAAAGTCCAGTATAGGAAAGGGAGTAGCCAAAGGACTTACATGCTTGACCCATGGACATGAACAATGGTGTGGGGATTGCCTGAGAGAGTTGGGGGTGCTAGGTGGAGGGGGGGAGGAATTGACACAACTGTAATAGCATAATCAATAAAAAATATGCAAAAAAAATTCTGGTCAGTAATTTTGAAGAATATTCCTGTTGGGTTTTGTCTGATGTTTTCCCATGATTAAATTAGCACAATGCGTGTTTATGAGACTGCTGTGTAAGTGATGTTGTGTCCTTGGAGCTTCTTCTGTGCACAGAGTCCCCTTCTCTGTACCCTGCTCCGGAATCCAGCAGGATTACAAGGTGAGAGAAGCCCCACTGCCTTCCATCATCCTCCACTCGCAACGGTCGGCAAGGTCTCCCTGCTCTGCCTGCTCTCCTGCCCCCACCTCCCTGTGTCTGCCCCCTCTGCCTGCCCCTACCTCCCCACAGAGAGCCAGGTAGTCGAGAGGCTGACCTTGTGTGTTTCCCTCTGGACCCCTGTCCCACACTGTGTGCTGTCCAACATGAGAACAGTTGCATCATGCAATGTGTCCAGTGTCCAGCTGTTTCCAGAGAGCAGGGTGGCCTGGGCCACCTCTCCACCAATACTCCCCACACCCGCTCACATCCCCCCACGACACTGCAGGGGGTCATAAGGGCTGAGTACATAGAAACCTTAAGGACAAGAGCTGTGCAAACGCCATCTCAGGCTCCCTGGAAGAGCAAGCAGCCTTTCCGTAGGCGCAGAGGCCATGTGGTTTCTTTTCATTTTGCTCGGCACCTGTACCTGCATGGCCTCGGGGTTCCCTCTGAGACTGAGCTCTGTAAGAGCCCGTCTGTCTTTTGAACCACTGCCAGATGATAAAACCACAGTCACTTCTGAATGTTCAGAACAGTTATGCTCTAAGCTGATTCTGTGGCACCAGTTTTGACCCAGTAGCAGAAGCACGGGGGGCTTCGCCCACAGTCATTTTAATATCGCCAGGTCTACTGTGGTTTCTCTCCTCACAGAGGAATGAACATTTTGCTGCTGGCACTCTTTTTTGTCAAGTCAACTCTACTTTCTGCTTTCTACCGAAGGAAGATTAATAATATCCAACATACAGACTAAATCAAGTAATTACACCTTTTAGTGCACCTGATAATTTCTTACCCAGCTGGTGCTAACAGTCAATCAAAATGCCATAAAAGGTGTTTTAGAACGTGCTAATGATCCACTGCACTCTGTCAGGCATGGTGGGGACTTGTTCAACTCTTGACATCACAAACTGTGCACAAAACAGCCTGACAGATGTACCACCCAGAGCTCCACACCGGAGCTGCCCGCCACTGGGAGCCCCTCACTCTACATGTCACATGTAACAGAGCTGCCGTATTCCACTGGATCCCCAATAAAGTCCTTTGAAATATTTTATACATCTTTATACTTTTTAAAGCCAGCTAAGGAGAGAATCCAAAATCAAGTCCTAGATGGACAAGAAACTACAGACTACTAATATTTCAATATTTCATTAAAAGCAACCGTTAAATGGGAAGATAAATTTAGAGAAAGCACCACATCTGGATTGTGTGAGATCCAGACACATCATCACCCCAACAAGGCGTTTTCCAGTATCTGTAGCTACTTGTAGACGCCCACGTCGAGACCCTACCAACCACGCCTGCTCCAGACAGGGTGCTCTCCAGGCTGCTGCACACCCGTCTGCCCCTCTGGCTGGTGCTGCCACAGCCCTGGGGGCCTGCTCACCATCCCACAAGTGGACATGATCAGTCACACTGGACCCTGGCCCTAGGTCTGCTACCCACGTGGAGCTGACCCTCTGCACCCAGCTGCTTCCAGTTCCCTGAGGCCCCGACACAGTCACCCAGACCAGACAGCCGCTGTGCTGCGAGGAGAGCTACCAAAGAGGGACTCTGAAACATGTGTGAGTGGGCTCCTGACGGGGACAGAAAGAACCAGGAGGTGTGAGCCTTTAGGACTCCAGTTCCGTGCAATGACCAGCATGCCATCCCTCCGCAGAGCCCATGCCTGTCAGTGCTGGTTCAGAGCTCGTCCTACTCAGTTCCTGCGCAGGGATATGAAAGTCAGAGTGTGAAGAAGGCTGACAGGAAAAGATTCATTCATGTGAACTATGTTGTTGGAGGAGAGCTTTATGGATACCCTGGACCAGCAGAAAGATGAACAGGTGGCTCCTAGGGCAAACTAAGCCTGAAGCCTTACTGGAGGCAGAAACGGTCAGCTAAAGCTGCCCTACCTCAGGCAGGGCTGCCTGGAAAAGACAATAATACCAGGGAAAAGTGAAGGCCACAGGGGAAGAGGGAAACCAAATACGAGCAGACTGGCTCCACAGAGAGCCCATGGGCATGAGTGCACGGGAGCGGAGCAGGGCTGCTGAGGATAGGGCATTGTGGACGTCACCCATTCAGAGGGTCGCCAGGAGCATGAGCCGACCACAAGGCATGTGACAACACCCAATGGCCAGGACTCCAGGGTGATGAGCACAAAGCAGATGCAGGGAATGAGGGCATCATGTCAACGACAGCCACGGAGAGCTGTGAGAGTGCCGTGCTGAGCAGAGGGCAGAAGGGAGCTCGTGCGCACAGACGCAAATGCACGAGTCAACGGAACGTTTGCTGAGAAATGGGAGAGCCATGCTGTTTTATGGGACCCACTGCAAGACACTGACCACTCACACTGTGAAGAAAGTGACTCTGTGAGAGGACCAGCTGGGCCTGATGGAGTTGGGGGAGGGGTGGGGGAGGGGGATGCTGCCCCCAGGAGGGGATGCAGGGCCTCAGGCTGGTCGGGAGCACAACAGACAGCCGCAGTGCAGGCCACTGAGCAGGGGAGGCGGAGGACCACCGGGATGGGACGGGACACAGCGAGCTGACCCTGTGGGTGCAGCAGTGTGTCCTCAGGCAGGCCAGCAGCACGTTCTCTGCCCTGCTCCCAACAACTCCACACGTTTGTGACTGTCCCCTGAGGAAAAACTTACAGTAGACACTTAGCATATCTGTAAGACAAGGTTTCCAATGTAAAAGAACTCAGGATTTTATAACATTTTAACAATCAAGATCTTACTTACAAAGGGTAAAAAATAGAAGAGAGTGAAAAAGAAGAGAAAACTGACAAATTCTCTGTGGTCGGAAGTCAGAAGGAACTGTGTCACTCCTGATTTTAAGGCTCGGAAATGTTTCTGAAACACTTTAAGGCAACTGCTAGTGAGATTAAAAACAGGACACGCACTTCCAAAGGCTCTGCAGACGACAGAAGCTAAGGAGTCACAGTTTCCAGGGCTGAGCAGGAGAGCGTAGGAGAAGGAGAACGCAGGTGACGGCACTGAGCTGAGCACAGCGCGGACCACTCAGCTGCCACTGCCTTCCTGGCCGGTGGAGGGGAGGGCACAGTGAACACACACCCCAAACCCAGTGAGCACACTAACAGGCAGAGAGAGAGAAGGAAGCTGGTGTGGCTTTCTGTGGTTGCGAATTACAGATGATGTGGTGTCCTTCTTTCCTGACTGAAAGCGACACGACACGCGTCACACGTCCCAGAGGCCACCAGGAAGGACGGGGAGAGGGGAGCACTGGAGGCTCCACCTCGGGGGTCTCTGTGTGAAACGGGCGAGTCGTGGCTGTCTGCACAGAAACCGGCCCTGCCAAGGATCAGTGAAGCCAAGAGCTTCCAGGGCTCAAAAACAGGCTGCCGGGCATCACAGAAGGGGGCAGCACAGGCCCAGCGGGCCCCGCCTGGCCAATGTGAGGACAGTGAGGTGAGTGACTCGTTTTTAGCACATTTCCCCCAAAACAATACAAGTAAAAGTTCTACTCACCGCTCCGAGCATGATTCTGAAAATCAGCCACCGAAAGCCCCACAGAACCACCCGGGAGGTGGGGGTCTTCCTGGGCAGTCGAGACAGAGTCCAGAGAGGGCACAGGAAAATCCCTAGGAACCCTGTTTCCAGAAGCTGAGACTCCCATCCTAAATGGTAACAGCGAGAGAACAAAAGGCCATGTTAACCGCAGCTGGACACTCTCTAGAGAAACAGCCTCACCAAACTCGGGGCAGATGCAGTGGCTGAGGGTGCGTTTCAGCCCACAGTCAAGGTGTGCCTCAGGGGCAGCCGTGACTGTGCCGCCCCAGCCAAGCCCTCTGTTTTTAGGCCACTGCCTCCCGTCCTCAGGGCACTAAGATGCGGCGTGGCCTCCTATTGAGCACACACTGCCCACGGGTGTTGGGGAGGCCTCTTCCATTCAACAGGGTTGTGTCTGAAGTCATGGTGTTATGCATTCTTCCCTGAGGGGCATTCACCGGGATGGATGCCATGCATCGGGGAGGCCAGAGATCTGCATGTGAGGCTCTAAATGCAACGCTGACTCTGGCCCTTGTCTGCCCCAGCTGAGGGAGTAAGTCACAGAGGGGCATGGAACAGGTATAGGTGAAACAGCCCCTATATGCCCCAGGTAAGGGAGAAAGCCAGGGAGAATTACAGGTATAGGTGACAAGGTCCCCAGGTAAGGAAGAAAGCCAAGGGGAGATGCAGGACAGGTATAGGTGACATAGTCCCTGTCTGTCCCAGATGAGGGAGTAAGTTGCAGGGAGACATGAGACAGGTACAGGTGACACAGCCCCTGTCTTCCCCAGGTGAGGGAGGAAGCCATAGAGAGTCACAGGTACAGGTAGCATGGCCCAAGTCTGCCCCAGGTGAGGGACTACGTCAGGGGAAGAAATAGGAACATGAGACGGTGGCTCCAGGTGAAACCACCTGCTCTCAGCCCCATGTGGGCTCAACCTGTTCTGGCAGGCGGCTCGGCGGTTAGGTGTGAGGAGTGCTAGCCCATTCTTACTGCCCCGTGTGAGAAACACAACTGAGTGCAGTGTACCTGAGTTCTTTCTTGTTCTCACGAAGCAGACAGCACCCCAAGTTCCCCTAAACACTCCCTGAATGGACCCTACTGTGGAAACAGCTGCTCACACTGTGTCCCTAGGACACCAGGAACCAAGAACAGGTTTCAGGTGGTTGTAAACTGGGCTCTTCAAAAGGAACCTGCACTTGATTGTGCGTGTTGCACAAGTTCCCAGTAACATGCTGCGTGAAAGATGCATCAGCCAAGGGTAGATACTCTGGTTCCATTTACAGAAAGTTCTAGTATAAGGAAAACTGGTGCAGGTGAGAGAAACCAGAACAAAGCTAGCTGCCCGGGGAGGCGGGCTGGGGGACACTGGGAGGACACGGAGTCTGCGCCCGGCCAGGGAGCAGGGCTCAGGGCGTGCTGGCCGAGACCCAGCAGAGGCACCTCAGGGTCTGTGCATTTTGTCGTTCAGTTCCTTCCTTGAACAGACATACAACCCTACAGAAATTCTGAACCCCAGTTTTAAGGCTGATGGACAGGTCTTCAGGCCTGTAACTTATTTTGAGGTACATCAAACATTAAATCGAGAAATGAACAGATGTGTGAGGAAGCCAGCAGAGCAAAGGACAAACCAGAGTCCAGGCAGGGGGAGCTCATGGGTTTCACTGTACAATTGAAACTCTCTGTAGTTTGAAACTTTCTGTAAGATTGTGGGGCAGGGATCCCATTTACTCTCACACATTCTACGGATTTCTGAAACCCCAGTTCCAAATCAGTAGTTCTTTTGGAGAGAACAGGTCGTTTGCAGTAAAGTGGTGCCCAAGAATGGCATGCCTGACACCGGGGTGACAGTGACCTGTAACCACCCAGAAGGGCAGGTAGTCTCAGCCTGCATGGGTGGCTGGCATCAGTGGAGCCACATGCCCTGAGCTGGTGACACTGGGACCATTAGCACACACCCTGCCCTTGTCAACAGATCATTCCAGCCCTGGCCGGTATGGCTCAGTTGGTTAGAGTGTTGTCCCATAACTGAAAGGTTGCAGGTTCAATTAGTGGTCAGGGCACATGCCTAGGTTGTGGGTTTGAGCCCCAGTCCAGGTGCAGACAGAAGGCAACTAATCGTTGCTTCCCTCTGTCATCAATGCTTCTCTCTCTCCCTTCCTCTCTCTCTAAAAGCAATGAAAAAAAATGTCCTCAGGTGGGCATAAAACAAAAGAAAGATAATTCTAGAAGTGGAAAGAAGTTTGGACGTGTTGGGGGGCAAGGCAAGGCAGGTAGCTGGAGCCACATTGCCACCGGGCTGTGCTGGGTCCTGTGTCACCGCTGTTGGCTGGCAGGAGAGGAGAGCACTAAGCTGCAGCGGGCTCTGGCCAAGGCCGGCGGGGAGAGACTGGATGCACAGAATGCCCCTCGGGCGCCCACCTGCACCCACCCCGCACTGGACACTTACCCCGACTTCCCTCAGAGGTTCAAGAGGGAAAAATGCAGAAAGCATCTACACTAGTATTATGAGATTTCAGACAGAACAATTGCTTACTTTGGGTCAAGGATTCCCCCCTTCTTATTCATAGTTCAGAAGACCTTTGCTTTACAACTTGCTTCAAACTTCCCTTCTCTCAGCCTGGAAAAAACAAACTTATTTCTGTATGACAATTTCTTTTAGTTTGTCTCAAGGTGATTTTCATTAACTGTGGACTTATTTCACTTAGGCTGCATTTTACAAATATATGAATTGATGAGCAAAGGATATACAGAATGTGGAAGTGGCCGTGGTCCTGGCTCTGAGCATACTTGTCTATAGATAGACATGTCCACTCTTTGAGAAAGTACCTCAAAGGCCACCTGTTTTGATCCTTCCTCTACTTGGTGGTGAGAAAACTCAGGAACCCAGAGTCCTGTGCCTCCCGCAGCCCTGCGAGCAGAGCAAGTGGAGCTGGGGTTCTGGGCAGAGAGAGCCAGGCCGCAATGCCGCCTAGAAAGCCTAGAGGAGCTGATGTGCCACTGCAAGTGTGGGGCCCTCGCTCAGGCCCGCAGTGCACACCTGCCTTGCTCCACTCCTGCAAACCCCTTGTAAACTCTAAGACCCCACGTGGGTGAGCACTTCCCTGGGCGCCAGGCCTGCCTTCTTTAATTGTCACCTCACTTTGCACAGATGTGATGAACGGAATTTTAATATACAGTTTGAGTGACACCAATCAAAGTGATATGCAAATGGCAGAGCCCAGAGACCGTGTAAGTGCCAGGAAGCAGGTGACAGGGTGGGTAGGCAAGGGATGGGACGTGCTGTCACCTTAGGGATGTGCTTGTACTGGCAGAGGGTCACCTGGTCCTCCTTCCTCCTGAACCTGCTGAAACACTCCTTAGCCTGTTGGGTTGCACGGGAGAGCGGACGCCTGAGAGCCAAGGTGCACGGGCTTCCCACTTGGGATCCTCAGCTCCCACCTGCCCCCTCTTTCCCTGGAGCTGCCGCCTCGCTGGCCACCAGCCCCCCAGCCACCAGCACTCCCTGACACCGCTGGGGAGGAAAAAGGGTCGCCTGCAGACCCACCTGCTTCTGCTTTCTTAGCTTGGATCTTGTTGAATTTCAGCAGCTGTGCTGCCTGCACAAGAACACCATTGTTCTCCGCTTCAGCATGGTGGGGAGGCGTCCCCAGAAAAACAAATGCCCAGTGCACTGCTGCGGCGGCTTCCTGTGGCCGAGAGGCTGTCCATGTGCCTGCAGATGGCACGGCACACAGCACCCTGCTGAGATGGGCTCACAACTGCGAGCCAGTGATGACCCCGACAGTCCCCAGGCCCCACTAGGTGCCTCTCACAGCCAAGTGCCTTTCGACCTGTGCTCAGAGCCTCTCTGGGCCGGGATAGAGACACCTGGCCCCTCACTTGGCAAACACCTACTTAACAATCATGGTGGGCCTGGAGGGCTCTGCCCCCCTGGCTGTGTCTTTGGGATGGTGCTGGTGTGACAACGGTCCAACAGTGGCTTTGGGGGTGACAGCAAATGCCCACTGGAAGCCATGGAGTATGGGCTACACCTGCCTGTTTCTGGCATTTTCATTTCCATAGCTGCTGGCTTGTTTCAAATAACACAGACCAGCCCTGAACGAGCCACGTCTGGAAAGTTTCCACATAAAACTGAGGAACACCTCCCGCTGTGAGAGGGGGGAATGGGTGCTCCCAGCCCCGAGCACTCTGACCGGCACAGTGGCTGCTGGGGCAAAGTGTCTAGGAGGCGAGTAGCTCCTGTGTGCATCTTTGCTTTTTCGAGGAGATGTCCCACTGTCTCCTGGGATGTCTGCAGACAGGTGGCGGATGGGGTGGGGACGAACCGCACTAGAGGAAGCTCAGGGTCTTCTAGCCTGGTCCTGGACAGTGAACCTTCATGAAGTGTTGGCCAGAGCTCAGGGCTGGCTGTCATCCATGACACCCGGGTCTGAGGGCAGCCACAGTCCCTCATCTTGTGGTCTGTGGGCAGTCTGGGCACCCCACTGGCCAGGACCAGCTGTGCCTGCATAGACTCAAGAGGTCAGAACAGGCCGGTTCTCTCCTTCTGCTGGTTTGAGCGTTTAAATAAAACTCCTCAGAATGCAGCACATGACCTGTGTCTACAGGCAGCTGCACGTGAAGTCTGAGGAAAAGCCCCATGAAAGAGGCTGGATTTGGACTCTCGCCCTCCAGGCCCAAGTTCGGAACCGAGGGGCCCCTCACTCCTCTGGCCTAGCCTGGGGCACCTGTTCTTCAAATAAAATTGATGTAATAATGGTGTCAATGTTTCTTTTCTATCAACTTAGGGGCAAGCGAAGAGCGAAGACGTTTTCTATTGCAGATGCAGAAAGTTCACCACCAAGAGGCCTGACCTGCGCCTGGCAGCCACGGCACTGGTGCACGTGGGGGGCGGGGGGGGCGAGGGCCCCTTCAGAATGAACGTGAGTGGGGCACCGCTCTGCTGCTCCTCAATGGGGGGCTCTTGTTGCCAGTGCCCTGGACAGGAAGAGCGAAGGTGGGGGCACCGGCGCACAGCCTGCAGCCGACAAGGGGGCCACCTGGCTAGCACCTCAGAGTCAAGGACGACACAGTACAGGCGCCACTCTGACCAAGGAGGAAGACAATCTAAAACACGGCTTCAGA